AGTTCCTTAAGATACGTAAGCATAAGGGTAATTATGAAAACAAACAAACAAAATCTAGTCAGTCCATCACAAACTTAGTAAGCCTCTTACATAATGCTACCATAAGTAAGTACTATGAGAGAGACAATAAAGATTATAATATGTTTTATAGAAGAATTCCATGTTTCAAAATAGATCTTCCCATCAACATTTTTAACATCTGCACAGAACACTCCCAACTCTTTGCTTTTGCGTGATGCCATTTCCTTCATAAGCCTCAAGTGGAGGCCATTTATTCCACCACACATCTACTCTCTCAGGAGCAAAGAGAAGGGTCTACACTCTCTTAGCACCCCTCTACCACCTTTGGGCCATACCTCTTCTACTCTTAAAATCTACTCTTCTTGTGAGACTCAGAACTCCCAACTACACCACTCTCTATCCTTTCTGTCTTCTACTGACCTCATCATTATTCCTCCACAAGCCTCTGAAAACCTGGTTCACAATAATCCTCTCTATACCAATTCCTCATTCACTTAAAAATTTATTGTTCTGTGCTGTGTGCCAGGGACACAATGGTATACAAAATAGAACTCCTATTCTCATGGCATTTACATTCCAGTGTTCGGGAATAGAGGAAGAGGATAAAGACATATACAGATCAACAAATGTGTAACATGTCAGGTTGTGATTAGTACTTTCACAAAAAATAAAATAGGATGGTGGACAGTGAGTGATGAGAATACTCAGGCAAGGGAAAAGAAGGCTTTCCAAAAAGGATACATTTGGAGATTGAGTCAAGTATATGGGGAAGCCTGGGGATGCCTGGAGGAAAAGCACGCTAGGCTAGGAGTACCTCATATGAAAGGCCCTAAGGTGGGAGCGTGCTTAGCACATCTGAGGAACGTGCTGGAGAGAACTGTGAAGGGGAGAGTGCTAGGAGATGGGATCAGAAGGGCAGGCAGACCCAGATTATGAATAACCTTGCAGATAATGATCAGCCACCGGAAGGCTTTGAGCAGAGTGACATGATCTGACTTAGGTTTTGAAGGGATCACTCTATTATGTAAAGAATGACCTGTATATCAGGCAAGGCTAGAAGCAGGGAGATGAATTAAAAGATTATGGTAATAGTCTAGATGAGAAATGATGGCGGTTTAGACCAGGGTAAAGATGGAGGAAGTGGTTAGCACTGGTCAGATTCCAGGTACGTTCTGAAATAGAACCAATGGGATTCACTAATGATTTAGAAGCTGGGTGTGAGAGAAAGAGAAGAATCAAGAATGACTCCTAGGTTTTTGGTCTTACCAAATGAAAGGATGAGTTGGTGCTTACTGAGATGGGGAAGACTGGGAAGGGGCAGATTTGAGAGGGAAACTAAGAGTTGTTTTGGACACAGTAAGTTTGAGATGGCTTCTCAACATCTAAGTGGAGATCACCCTAGATAATTTAAGTATAACTATAGTTGACCTACTGACAACTGGTGTCAGTGTTAGTAAATTCAAATGCTTTCAGGGGCCAGGCAGGCAACATACACAAGTGTTGAAATAGGACAGGCAGTAGGAGCTACTGTGGCCAACTGGAGAGTAAATGTCTAATCTAAAAGGGAAAGCCACCACTGAGCCCCCTTTTAGTACTGCCATTTGGGATCTCGGCCCAGTGTTGCTAGATCTTCCAATATTTTAATAGAATGAAGAATCTGGATTTTTAACTACATCTTAGGGGGAGAAAAAACAAAAACAGTTCCACAATCTAATAAATTCCGAAACTGCTAGTGAAATAAAGTTCTTAATGCAGGATTTACCAGTGTCCTTAATTTACTAATGTATATTGCAAAAGAGATACTGTGTTTAACATTACTCCAATTTACTTGACAATAGCATCCTCTTTTCATGCAGTATCTCATGGGACAAACATTTCTTGGCAAGTAATTTGGGAAATGCTGGTTTATGCATAGGTCCTAAAAATCAATCCCTTTATTCTCTCTTGGAAAATCTGAGGACATATATTTCTTTTAGCTTATGAATCATAGGTGATCACACACACACACACACAAACACACACCAATTTTATAAGATGTTCTAACATCTAATATCAGACTTAACTGAAACATAATAGAGAAAATACTAAAGTCTTCAAATTTGCTAAATACTAAGCGGAATCTTGACCCTCTTATTGGTGAACAAACACTTAGTGAAATCACAGGGGCACTGAATCACTTTATTTCCCAACTCCTCTCCTCCTTCACGTGTTGTGTCATATAATTTAGTAACAGGAAAGACAGCCAATTACTACTATGTACTTGGTGGATGTTCTCTGTTTTACTTATCTATGAGGAAGGAAGATGGGAGAAGACAAACCTGGAATGGAAAATCTGTAATAAAAAGACAATTAATATTGTTGCAAGTGTTTAAAAATATCCTCCAGGACGTCATTAAGACATTTGATGTGCAAGGCTTTTGTCTGTGAAGATTATTAAAAAGAGCTTACAATATTGTCGAGGAGATGAGTACATAAAAAGATAAACAATGTAAAAATGTCAAATACTATCAAAAGGTTCTAGAAAAGCTCAAAGAAGGAAGAGCACAACGTGCGTTTGAATGGCCAGTGAAAGTGTCACATAAGCCAGTCCTTGAAGGATAGGGAGGCATCAAGTCAAGAGAAGGGTGGTAGGAATTCCACACAGGAAAGACATGAGCAGAGACAAAGATAAGTCAGTTTTAGGAACCATGAGCAGATAAGACTGTATAGGTTGGGAGAAAAATGGGACAGGAGGCTGATTAGATCATGGGATCACTGGATACCACGTAAGGAAATCTGGCCTTAAATGTGTAGGTAGAAGAGATTTACCAAAGGATTTCGAACGAACGTGAATCTGCCATGTTAATGAAATTTGACCTGGTGATGACATGAGGGAGCCGACAGTGGGAATGGGAAGAAAGGATGAATGAGGCTGATATTAGGAGAAAATAATCAGTAGGATTTGTTTACTTACTGAATGTGGGAAAAGCAAAAGAGAAAGGAATGTCTTTGACCTTGGGTCCCTGAGAGAATGAGTACAACAGCAAACTGGTTTATACATATTGATTTGAGGTAACAGTGGTACATCTAAGTAGGAATGTACAATTAATTAATGACTTGGGACTAGAACTTAAGAAGAAAAGGGAAATAATGTGCATTAAGGAACAACCGTATTTTCACTCTCGTGCTAGCTCCTTTTCCTAGGTGATCAATTTTAGGAGAACAATTGGGCTGGAGTTTGCAATTTGGTACCATCCACACAGATGTCAGAATCAAAGCAGGAGAATAGACAGTATTCAATGAAGACCAATCTATCACACTTCCTCTCTGTCCTTTTACTATTAAAACAGTCAGTCTTCACACAAAAATAAATGTATATAAAAAACACTCCATCACACCACATCACATTATAGCTCAAAATTTCTGAATTCCGTAAGTTAATACTGAGTTTTAGGTAGCATTTGAGGTAGGGAAGGAAAAACAGAATTATAATTGTCCTTTTTTATTCTTCTCTTCCCTTGGGGGAAATGAACAGACACAAAACAGGAGACAGGAAGGAACCAGAGTAGAAAGTATTTTGGAGAGTTTCCACCTGCTGAGATAAACAGGAAAAAAAGGAACTCTCCTTAAAAAACAATAACCATTTGAATACTGTCTCTTACTTTTCTAGAATTCACTATCAATTTACAGACATGCTATTTTCATTCCCATCATAAAACTTTCTATTCACAACCAGGAAGGAGTCACACATTCCACCTTTAGGTTCCTCCTTTGGCCTAGCAGGGTCTCAGTTTTCCCCCATTGTCTTATATGCTGGCCCTGGAGCTCAGGTGCAACACCCAGATCAATGCATGACAGATGTTTCTACAGCAGTCATCAGTCTTTCCATTTGCCACAATTCTCCAGGGTGAGCTGGCTCGGTTCCTTTCTTCCCACAGCAGCCAGGCAGGCCATGCTGCTTAAAATGTCTCTCAGTTCAAAAACCCAAAGCAAAGCAAGGTAAGAATGGAGAAGCCATGGTAAGAAAGGACACAGGGGCAGGCAAGGGGTGGACTGAATTTGCAACCCTAGAAAACATCTGGGCATGCGGTAGTGATTTAACATAAAATTATTTCCACTCATGGTACTCTTTCTTTGGCTCTACCAATGCAATGCAATAAATAGTTTAACTGCATGAAAGTTCCCCAAAAGGAAAGGTTTTATTTTTTTTTAAAGCTAACAACACCTGCTTACTGTGAATTTCCAGTTACACAACAAAAATCCTGTCACAAAATAACTTTATACTGGAAAATAGTTTACTCACACATATGTTGGCTAAAACAACCACTTGTTTTGACAATATAAGAACATTCATAAGATTAATTCCCACACAATTCTGGCAGAAGAGCCACTAAAATAGTAATGAAGTAACTCTGTAAAAAATAATTTAGAGAATTGGCTCAAATGCGACAGTGGATGGTTTTGACTATAGTTAAGCAGTAACAGTTCACCTTCTCTATTGACTTTAAACATTGCCTGGGTTCTCATTGCTCTGAACTCCCTGATACTACAATTTTTTTTAGCATCCTGAATATTTTACACAGGTTCCATAAAACACCAAACAGAAGTTAGCACTTGGCAGGCTTGTAAGAAACTTGTAGGAAGAAGTCCTTTGCTGGTTCACAGATTCCTTTCCACCTCGCAAATGAAGACAAGGAGAGCAGAACATTCCAGTTCCTGATGCAGGCTCTTTCCTCCCAATATAGATGGTGATAAGAACACTGCAGGGCTTCCCCTAACCACCGGGTCCTCTTTCTGTGGTATGCATACTGAGAGAAGGATTCTAAATAACAGAAAAGCTGCAGCAGGATAAATAAGACATATCTACAGGAAATAATGAATTTTCCTGTAGAATGAAAGACTTCACAACAAAATTTCAGAATTAGTTAGCAATCTCATCATATCCTATTAGTACTCTATTTACATAAAGTAATAAAATACATTTTATACCCTTCTCTTACCTGCCTGCTGTCCCTCTGGGTGGATGTTGAAGAGGAGGCACTCCTATGGGTTGGAGTGGATGTTTTATGAGCAGGGGATATACCCTTCTCGTCTGAACTCATAGCTGCAGTTGGTTCAGTTATATGCACAGAAGAACATCCCAATATTGTCTCAAACCCACAGGCAAAGAAATAGATGATTTTTCAGCTTTATTCCATTTCATGAATCATGCTTGACTAGAAAAACGAGGCCAATACTGTGGGTGTCCAAATCACCTAAAAGCAAAACAAACAAGAAGACCTCAAGTAAGTAATTAAAAAACAACATAAAAAATCATTAAACTCAGGAAAAAAATATTAATTGGTGTTAGTGAAAGAAATATTAGGAAATATTATTTCTTCCTCTAGATTTCTAAGGTGGAGGATAAAAATATTTATAAAACGCTTTCCCTTGAAGGAAAACTAGTACATCAGCTTCTTTCCCTGAAAATTAATTTACCCTGTCCAATGCATTATGTAAGAGTTCAAAACGTGTTTGTCTTCAGTTTAGTTCAGAAATGCCATGTACTTGACGGTTAAATCTAGATGAAGCAGTTAGTCAGAGAAGAGTTAATGCGTTATGTTAATGCATTATGTGTATCATGTGATCCAGTATTATGTGAAAGATCAAAGAATATACATATCCACAGTCACCTGCACCTGAAGTCTATAGTATGCCTACATAAGATTCTCATCTCAACAACCACTAGGCTCACAAGCATACAGATTGATAGGCATGTCCCAGAACTGCGGTAATTAAAGTTGCTTCTCTGACTCACAGCCAAGAGCCACTTGGCTTTTTATTTGGATTCATGTTAGGAAGGTTCGCACTGTTAACATTAAAGTTAAAAGCTTGTGACGGAGAGAAGCATTGTTAAACTGGCCTTGTCTCCTCACCAGTGCAACACAGGTACGCTAAAAAAGATTTTAAAAATTTAAAGGAAAAAAAAGCTAATCATGATGGTGTAAGATAAAACATTTAAACAATAACATGCAAATCTGTGACCCAAAAGATAGACCATTAAGTTCCAGTTCCCAATTTAGTGGTAATATTCCTTGAAGGAAGCACAGAACACTCGCGTAGATCCTTTAGCACAGGTTAGGAGAGAAAGATACTGGGATGAACAGAAATCAACCTTTAGGCCAGAAAAATGAGACTTGAACTTCAGTCCAGAAGGGAGACAGTCACAGAGATTAAGATGTAGGAGGTATTATCAGGCAAGTGGAACTGACCACATCTGGAAGTTAGAGGTCTCCCTGAGCAGTGAGTTAGGGCTGAAATCTGAAGGATGAGTAGGAGCTAACGAGGGGCCTGGGAGTCCAGCGTTTCATGATCAAAGAAAGGCAGGGGCCAGATGCTGCAGGGCCTTGTAGTCCACATTCAGCATTTTGATTTTTATCCAAAGAGCATAAGAAGCCATAGAGGAACATGGCATAACCAGATCTCTGTTTTCAGAAAATTATTTTGGCAGTCACAAGAACCAAATTGGAATGGTAAAGAGAATGAGAGAAGCCTGATCAGGAAGGAAGATATGATGGACTACAGCAATGGCCGAAAATCTAACATCGAGTCCCATAGATTGTGAGGATCATGGAGAGGAAGGAAAGGCAGGGTCGAGGATGACTCCCAGGATGACAATGCTGTTCATCGAGAAAGGGCTGGCCAAAGGCCATCCACAACTGAGGTGAAGGTGATGAGTATGGTTTCAGACATGTTGAGTGTGAGGTACCACTGAGGCATTCAAATGGAGATAGGCACTGGGAAATGTGGGTCTGAACTGGAGACATAAATGTTTAATAGATTTTGTTAATGCTATACATATACTGAGTGACTTATGTATAAACCAAAATCCACTGTCGTCGAGTCGATTCCAACTCATAGCGATCCTATAAGACAGAGCAGAATCGCCCCATAGGGTTTCAAGGAGCAGCTGATGAATTCGAACTGCCGACCTTTTGGTTAGCAGACATAGTCTGCCGTGGCTCTTAGACTATGTAAAATTTGCAAGTAAAACTAAAATTTATACAGCCTATCAGTAATTATATTTTTTAAATCTGTAAGGTTATGTTAATGGACTATGTGACCCTGAATGTGATAATTGGGATTTTTATGGTCACCTGGTTATAGAGTATATTTAAAAAGCAATCCCAATACCTACAAGAGAAATTATTCTAAGATGGGAAAATTAGACATTCTGGTGAATAAGACTCAGAACCCTTTCTTAAGATTTCACATTCACTGTTGGTGTTGTTAGGTAATGTCGAGTCAGTTCTGACTCATAGCAACCTGTGTACAACAGAACGAAACACTGCCCAGTCCTGCATCATCCTCACAATCGTTGTTATGTTTGAATCCATTACTGCAGCCACTGTGTCAATCCATCTCGTTGCGGGTGTTCCTCTTTTTTGCTGACCCTCTACTTTACCAAGCATGATTTCCTTCTCCAGGGATTGGTCCCTCCTGTTAACATGTCCAAAGTACGTGAGAGGAAGTCTTGCCATCCTTGCTTCTAAGCAGTATTCTGGCTATACTTCTTTCAAGACACATTTGTTCCTTCTTCTGGCAGTCCGTGGTATATTCAATATTTTCAACACCATAACTCAAAGGCATCAGTTCTTCTTTGGTCTTCCTTATTCATTGTCCAGCTTTCACATACATATGAGGCAATTAAAAATACCATGGCTTAGATCAGGTGCACCTTAGTCCTTAAAGTGACATCTTTGCTTTCTGACACTTGAAAGAGGTCTTCTGCAGATTTCTCCAATTCAATATGTCATTTGAGTTCTCGACTGCTGCTTCCATGGGTATTGATTGTGGATCCAAGTGAAATGAAATCCTTGACAACTTCAGTGTTTTCTCTGTTTACCATGAAGTTACCTGTTGGTGCAGATGTGAGGATTTTTTGTTGTTGTTGTTGTTGAGGTGTAATCCATACTGAAGGCTGTGGTCTTTGATTTTCATCAGTAAGTGCTTCAAGTCCTCTTCACTTTCAGCAAGCAAGGTTGTGTCATCTGCATATCGCAGGTTTTAATGAGTCTTCCTCCAATCCTGATGCCGCCATTCTTCTTCATATAGTCCAGCTTCTTGGATTATTTGCTCAGCATAAAGGCTGAATAAGTATGGTGAAAGGATACAACTCTGATGCATACATACCTTTTCTGATTTTAAACCACACAGTATCTCTTTGTTCTGTCTGAATGACTGCCTCTTGGTCTATGGGCAGGTTCTGCATGACCATAATTAATATTCTGGAATTCCCATTCTTCGCAATGTTATCCATAATTTGTTATGATCTACATAGCTGAATGTCTTTGTTACCATGGGTCAAATAAAAGCTGCTTATCCCCCAAAAACTGGAGGGCTTTCTCTTGAAGCAAAACTACTCTTTGGGCAAACAGAAATGCAAAGAGCTGCGGAGCTCTTTTGCTGATCAGAATTGAAGTTTCATTTAATACTGGCAAAAGGCAGCAACAAGCTGACACTGATAGATAACCATCTAATCCTTTTTTTGTTTTATGAAGGTGGCCTAATAAGTGTGAGTAAAGTTTCTGAAGCCAAGCTCTGGTGCCAGCAAACAGAAAGCAAGAACACTGTTCACATCCTTGATTGGAAGTGCTCTGTTTTCTGGTCCAAGATGTTTTACAAGCAGATGCTGACACTGGAGCCAAAAGCATGGTGGTTTTATGATGTGCTCAAGCGCCCTCAAGGGGATGATGCTGAGACAAAAAAGCTCATTAAACTCGCATCCATTTGGAAGTAAATTCAATCCAAGCTACATCAAGGGCCAACATTTCCTCTGTTGAACTTTTTTCTTTTTCCAAACTGCATCCAACTCTACTTTCCTCACTAACACCAATGCTAGCACCCTGGATTTTGTGTTTGCTTAAAGTAACATTCACAGGGTAACCTATCTATGGTGCAAGGACAATATTTCAGTAGAATTACAATTATGAGTACACTGAATATAAAAAATGAGTAAAAGAATTTAATTCATTCCAAGAATTGTCTTGTAAGGTTGTTGTTTTTATTAGTTGTTGGTCTTTTTTGTTTGTTGGTTAACAAAAAGGGGCTCAAGCACCTATTAAAGGGTTGAATTTGATGACCTTTAAAGATACTTCCAAATCTGATTACAATCCCAAACCTGATTATCAGTCAATGCTTGATCACCTACTCTATTTTAGAACGCACTACGAAAGTAAGAGTGTCTAAACTCTGTAAGTAGATTTCATCTAATTATTGTTTATTCCTAAAGTGTAAGAATTGCTGTGACATAAAAATACTTTATTGAAACACATTTTTAGAAATTGTCTAAATAACATTTTAAACCAAAGAAAGACCATAGATTGTAAAGTCAACACAAACATAATTACTATACTCAATCAGAACAGTACTGGGGCTGAAAATAACAGCAATTTGAGAGCTGAACATCGAATTTTCCCATCTCATTCCCCCTTAATATCAGTGAAATTACTACTCTTGTTGTTAAATGCTGTAACATTTTCATTTACACTGAATAATGTAAAATTCGGATTTATGATCCAGGGACCTAACAAAAGCAACCAGTGGTAGGAAAGACCTCCAGAACAAACTTGCTGTTCACAGGCACCATGAACTGTAAATGTCCAGACAAAACGTTTGAAAATGGGGATTACCTGATCTTGACCATCACAAGCTTACATAAAACAAGGGAAAGCATTTTGTTTTATTCACTGCTGAAACATCAGAGCCTAGAACAATTCCTCATGATAGCAAGTACTCAACACTGAATTAATGAGTGAATGAATGAATAAGTAATTTTACAAGGCAATTCCATACTTAAGATCTCATGTGACCTATAAAAACAACACTGTGAGATGATCACACTAGATACTAGTATTTATGCTTCACAGATAAGGAATCCACCGATTTCAGACCCTTCCTTGGGCTTAGTGCTGAGGTTACAGAGAAGAAAAACCTGATGCCCATGTTCAAACAACACCACAAGAACACAATAAGCCAGATCCAAAATGTGGGAGCATCTACAAGACAGATGATGTAGATCTGCAACACAGCATGAAAAGACAAAAGGGAGAAGAAATTTACAGATTAAAAGAGACTTCAGAGAGCCATAACCAAACATGGGTGGACTTTTATTGATTCCTATTTCAAACAAACTAGTCTAAAAAGAATTTACTGAGACCATTGGGAAACTCTGAAAATGAAGTGGATATTAGATGGTAATAAAGAAGTGTTTATT